GAAGACTTAAACTTAATGAAGAACAAATAAATACTGTTGGTGAAAACTTTTCACATGAAGCAAAAACAATAATATATCCTGGAAAAAATCATGATGGTTATTGGAACATTAAACAATTGATTAAACAGGTATATAATTATGTTATTTTATAAAAATATAATTTTTTTATTAATTAAATTTACATATATAGATTATTGAAAAAGCTATTCCTATTTTTGAAACAACACATCCTGAAGCTATTGCTATATTTGCTTTTGATAATTCTTCTTTACATAGTGCTTATGCTTCAGATGCACTTAATGCAAAAGCAATGAATGTAAATCCTAATGAAAAATAATCAAAACTGCGTGATACAGTCTTTAATGGTCAAATACAATATATGGTTTTTCCAAATAATCATCCAAATCCTGAATTACAAGGAAAATCAAAAGGAATGAAAGCAATTCTTCAAGAAAGAGGATTATGGAATGAAAAATTAATTGGCTTCTGCAAAAATGATATATCTGAAGAAAATTGTTATATGCAACATATTTTAAAATAATAAGATGATTTTCGTAATCAATCTTATTTAATTCGTAAAACAATTAAAAATTTGGGTTATAAAGTTATTTTTTATCCTAAATTTCATTGTGAATTCAATTTTATTGAGATTTATTAGAAAGATGCAAAATGATATACAAGAAGAAATTGTGATTATACTTGGCGAGGTTTGCAAAAAATTGTATCAGAAGCATTAGATTCAATTTCTTTAAAACAAATTTGAGGTTATACACAAAAGTCTTTTAGGTATATGGATGCTTATAGAAAAGGACTTAATGCAAAGCAAGCAGAATATGCAGTTAAAAAATATAAAAGACATCATGTTATTCCTCAATTGATTTTTGAAGAATTTTCTTAAATTTATGTATAAATTTAATAAAGTATAAATATCAGTCACGTGATCCATATATAAATTTATAAATTTGTCACTTTTTAGTCACATGATTTTATATGTTTATATGTAATTTATAAATTTGGCATTAAAAAAAAAATTTATCGTGACTAGACGATACAAGCCAATAGGAGATAATTATCAAGATAATTATCAAGAAAATGATTATGATGCAATATATATTTTATTTTGATATATGATAGAAAGTATAAGGATCTTTAATTATTAAAATTTAATAAGTTAAACCTAAACTATTTTCAGAAAAATCTCATTTTATTATTTTATTAGCCTGTTATTATTTGAAATTCCTTGTAGACATTTTTTCAAAGTTCTTAAAAAAAGCTTATAGGCAAAATTTCATATTATATTAATAAATCAATACTGGTATCAGGATGCAAAATTGAATATTACTAGTAATGATTTAGTTTTATTAGATACAATATCACTTATTAAGAATGATCATACCAAAGCTATTTATAATGAAATTAATTTTAAGTATATTAATCAGATCCATAAAGCAAGTATATACAAAAAAACTTCAAAGTATTGTTTTAGCTAAAGTAAAATATGGAAGGTCTTTGAGGCTTGCAAGAAAAGTATTAGATTTAGCTCAGAAGCTTGACTGTTTTAATGAAGTGAATAGAATATTTCAAAATTTTATTGAAGATAAATAGCAAGAATTATTTTAAAAGCATAATAAGGAAAGTTTAAATAACACTTGGCAAATAACAGATGAAAACAACACTAATGAAATTGAACACAAAATTGGTTATTCTAATTCCATTACTTCAAGATGTTGTGGATGACCTCCAAATCGCTATTTAAGTGAAGGTGAGACTGCAAAATGGAATAAAAAAGTAAAAATGAATTTAAGATCAGAAGATGACTTAAAAATAAAGAGATGGAAATAATAAGAAACAAAGAAGGTGTAAGGGATGTCAAGAAACAGGTCATGACTTGCGTAATTATAAAAGTAAAGCTCTTAGTGAAAGAAATTGAAATGTAATTATAGTTCGAAAATGATATTAGTAATTTAATAAACTAAATAATATTCAATCACGTATCTAAGCAGCGGTGATCATCACCTACGGTGATAATTAGCAATTTTCATATGAAATACATGAAACAAAAATGCTCAATTCCAAATACAGTTAAAGGATCGTCGATCTATTTCTCTCCTACTGATTTTTTATGGTTGATTTAATATTTATCATTTATTCGAAGATTTATTATTATTATTTTTTTTTTTAAAGCTATTTTTCGCATTATTTATATTTATGTATTTTTAAAATCCTTTTACAATTTGTGCCCATACCCACTTAGGCCACGCCACTGTTAACTAAGTATTCTGACTTCGACTCGCATAAACCAATTTATGCTTGTAAACAGTGGAATGAAATAATTTCTTCTTAATTCGTAAAATTAAGGTACCACATATACTTTTTCATATAATAAGTGATCCCTGGAATTTGTTACACTATAAAATCTTTCGGAGGACTGTCGCAGTTACCGTTTCCGTTTTTTGGGCGGGTGGTTTGGTAATATTATTAAATTTAAATATATTATAAACCGGTGGAATAATAACCATCGGTGTATATATAATACCGATTGGGATAATTTTGTTTTGACAATATTTGGTATAAATATTTCACTTTCCGAGATCTACGTTATTAAAATTTTTAGATCGCAATCATTAAACGGGCCGACTATTTTACCAAAAGTTTCGGTTCATCCGATTACTGATTTGTTTAATAAAAAAAGTTCATTACTTGATTACAGCACATTGGGCAGATTATTCTTCCGGAACATTCAATGTTTAAAAAAAAAGTATAAATAAGATAAATTCTTTATTATTTACGCATAATATATTGTATCCCCTTTTTTGACGGTTATATCAAAATGAATGACTTTTTTAATTTAGCCGTAAAAAAAGCTCCAATGTTAATTTCTACAACGATAAATCATTATCGCAAGGGCCCACCTCAACCTTCATGGGATTTAAAATTTCATTTAGTTTTTGCCTTGATTAAATCAAACATCGGTGATTTCAATAATCTAACAATTGAGCAGGCACAACAAGACTCTAAACGTCACGCTCCTTTATTACCTGATACAATTACAAATGAGTCCAAGGTAGACAATAAATATAGACATGAATCTCAAATTCATCTTGAGAGAATTTTGAAACCCTATGAACACGTCTTGGATACCGAATGGAAAGATTTAAAAGATGATGGAATTACTGCTGAATGGGTTCAGATTCGTGACGATGGATGGGAAAAAAGAGAAGTTAGGAAAACCATTCTTTATTTACACGGTGGAGCTTATTATTTATGTAGTAAAGAATCCCATCGCAAAAGCACTAGCGCGCTTGCTAAAGGATCCAATGCGAGAGTTTTTGGTAAGCAAAAACACTTTATGGACTTTTAAACTTTTTCAATGTAGCGAATTTACGTTAATATTTTATTAAACATTCATTTTATCAATAGCAATTGATTATCGGCTTGCACCTCAAAATCAATTTCCTGCAGCATTACAAGATGCATTAGCTGCTTACTTGTATCTCTTAAATCCTCCAAAAGATTCAGGATTTGAACCTTTAAATCCAAAAAATATCATATTTGCTGGAGATAGTGCAGGGGGTGGTTTGTGCATGGCACTTGGACTTGCCGTACGTGATGCTGGCCTGCCTTCATGCGCCGGTATCGTCGGATGGGTAAATAAAAAAAAAATTCAGTTTCAGCGCATTATTTAATTTAACATGATTTTCATGATTTATTATGCCACATAACAGAGTCCATTGCTCGATCTTACACACAGTATGCCATCAACTATAAGTGATAAATGCGAGGAAACCGATTTTGTTTCAATAACAAGTTTTCGACATGTAACATCTCAAGTTGAAATTGATTATAAAAGAAAAGCTGCTGCACTCACGGCAAGGATTAAGAAACAAAATCTTGAACCAAAAATTTGGCATGATTCTTTTGATAGACCTGAAGGAAGATTAAAT